GGGGGGGGGGGGGGTGTGCTTGGGTGGTGGGGTTGCGGTGTTGTCAAAGAAAAGAACTATTCTTGTCTAAGTTAGAGAAGTAGATTATTCAGGGTTTGCTTATGCCACCAGCAAAAGCATGAAATTCTGAACTTCCAACTTCATTTTGCTAAGATGATGGTAATATTTTCCACAAAAAGCAAAGGATGATAAATGATGACCAACTCTTACTCTGGACCATTAGATGTAATCACCTTAGCTTTAGGGAAATAAAATGAGTAGATAGTTGTCTTTTTGTGAAAAAGTTGGTTTTCCCTAGGTATGGCATAAAATAATGGTGGCGTCCTGGTCAATTTGAGCGCACCTCGACTAAATTCAATGAGTATCGGATAACTCTGTCCATCAAAGGCTTAGCCTCTTGTCCATTTTAAATGTCACTTGAGAAGATCATTTAATAACATTAATAATAAGAGCTAGTTTGACTAAATTACTTGTTTGACTAAATTACTTTTTATTTCTCCTCAAAATGAGTAATAACTGTTGAAAGAATTTTTAGAAAATTGCAGTATAGATTATTTATGGAGCAAGAGTAGATCTGAAAATAATAAAATTAATGTCTTCCTGATTTCCTAAAGCAAGCTTATCTTTTACTAAACTTGTTTGCTAAAACCACATTTAAAATTGATGGTAGGTAGTACTTTCCAAGTATAAACATTCAATCTTCTTTATTTTTTAGATTGGTGTTTTGTCTTCAGAATTAAAACTTACATTCACTGAAAATCTGTTTTTCTGATAGATTTTTTTTTTTCTAATTATGAATTAGAAAGCAATTGAGGTAACTAGTATAAAACTGAATCCTCATTGTGCCAAAATTTTACTGTCATAATGTAGTTAGAACTTAGAAGAATACTAGTGGAAACTGTATGGTTAAAGGTTTCCCCATTTTATCATTGAATGCTGCCATGCAGTGGCGGATTTCCAAACGGTGTCAATTGACATCCTTCACAAAAAAATTATACTGTATAGCTAAGTAAATTTTTCGTGAAAATCCTGACTCCGTCGCTGCTGCCTTGGTGTAATTCTTTGTTATGGTCTTAACTCACATACAAACCCAGGTCATCAAAAAAGAAACGGAGAGAGTTTGAGAGGGAGAGAAACATTTTGGATATGATATTAAGATAAATTTTCTTATCACCTAGACAGAGTTTGGCTTGCATTAGCTGGCATTTCTTTACATAAAAATTATTGTTCAACAATAGCTACCAAAAGTATAGGGACATATTTTGTTGGGTTGTTGTCAGCATGTCCGCTTTTTAATTACCTAAGCTTATTTGTATCCTAGTGTTTCTGATGACATTTATCTTTGTAAATTTGCTAACAAGCAATTGCGATTATGTCCTTTTGTTGAATTCGAAAGAGTAATTAAGTAGATCGTTTTCTCATAGTAATAATTCTCTTGTATTAACATTCCAGAATCGGAACCAAAACCAAAATATTAAAAGGGAAACTGAAGCCAGCACAAACCATGAAATCACAAGGGCAGATGAATCCCAGGAAAGAGATGGATCTGCAGAAAAGGACGCGACCATTTTCAAGCTTTTTGTACGTCCGCAGCACCCTTGCAATTACTTTGGACTAGCGAAACAAGCGTTTCTGAAGTGCTTGGGCTTTGATTCGGATCGTGATAATTGTAACACCAGAAGACATGCTAAAGAGGATTAATGTATGATCTTCTTCACCCCAAAATGAAAAAACGAATGCCAATGACTCACTTCATATTAATTGCTTCCCATGTTCTATACCTTTTTTATTGTTTAAATCTTGAGATTCTAGCCTGTTTCAATGTAATCTGTTGTTTTGCAGGGAAAATGCTATATTTTAGTTCCTTGAGACAGAAGTGTCTGCCTTTTGTACAAAGATCAAGGTTTTGGAAAGAGCAGCTACTGGCCATTTTAAAAGTGTATTTGCATGCCTTGAGATTTTCTAAATCACATTTCCCTTGAAGCCTCTTTTCTAGTTGCAATTAAGGTCGGAGGGTAGTTTAACCCACAAAATGATTGTTTGTTAACATGTAGTAGCTCTTTCACCTAAGCAAGATTAGCCCTGCATTAGTTGTCTTGTAAAATGTATCTTACCCTGTATATAACAGCTTTATATTGAGCTGTGTCTACTTCTTTTTGCCTTGTCATGATAAGAACTTAATTGCTATTCTTTTAGTAAGGTGTTTCATATTATATGACGGTATTTGATTGGATATAAAGTTTAAGGTACTAATTTGACTAACTACTTGTTTGGATGGTTATATATATCGTTTCATAATGTATCGTATTTGTATTATATTTTATTGTATTTTGATCAATATAATATTTGGATAGATTGTATTGTTTGCTTTCGTTTCATGATGTCATGTACTAACAATATGAAAAATAAATTTACAATATTATTAAGAAAAAATAGGATATAGGGTAAAATTATTATATGAAAAGGTAATAAGGGTAAAATGAGAGAAAAATAAGGTAGTGAGGTGACCATACCAAATCGGCTGTTATATAAATTGACATTTTTCGTCGTTACAGAATAACGAATTTAATAATATGATACAATAAATAAATATTGTATTTAAAGCAATAATACGATAGAATACAATAACTAACAATCATCCAAACAAGTTGTAATGTATCATATTAATAGTAGTAAGAGAAAATATTAAAAAAGTGGTTGAAGAGTTAGTTTAATACAGAAAACACTATATGAAATTTTGAAGTTTATATAATTAAATGAATTTGAATTCCTGAATGTTGTTTGAAATGATGCTAATGATAGAATGACGTCTAAATTGGAATGTTTCAAAAACGAAGTATGTTAAATAAATTAAGACAGAAATAATATTTATTTAACAAAGACATAACATCAAATACTGGAGATTTACATCTCTTTCGGGGGGTTTGGGGGGGTTCGGTGAAAATAAACATTTTTAATACTATGATATGACTGAGTAGTGTACATGAATTGTGAACTTTAAATACAATAGTGGGTTTGATTTGTATGGAATTAACATTTTCTGTCCAACAAATTCTTTAGGTATTCGATTCCCTCACACTAATATCTAAGAGATATTTATTCATAATAATGAGCTTTGCCAACAGTTGAAGATACTCATTAAAAATGTCTTTCTGATCACAAGAGTTGAAACATTTCAACAAGGTCTATAAGCTTGCTCTAGCTTAGGAAAACAACAAAAGTTGAAAACCTTACTACTCCTCATGTCTCACTTGATGCGTTTTAAAAGTAAAATTTTAATATGGATTATTTCATTACTTAGAAATTAATAAAAATCCTTGAAGGCGAAACTTTTTAATCTTACACTTTTAAATATAAAGAGAAAATTACACGACACGTGAAACATATTCACTATATTTATCATTTGTAAATATACTTTCAGCAAATTTATCATTGTGTAGCTATATTTAAATTTTATAGTAAATCCATGAAACAAGAGATTAATTATTTTGAACTGAACCAAGAGAGCAACAAGCTCTTGTAGCTTAGTTGGTTAGAGTGCCCATTTAATTAGTGGAGGTCTTGAGTTTAACTGTCAATAAAAGAATTATTTTTTCGGTTTAGTGTATAAGTTTTTTATATTAGAGTAATACTATAATTTAGGTTTAGTGTATAAGTTTTTTATATTGTCAAGTTAAATTGATCTAACTTTTCTGATATAGTGACTTGAAAACTAGAGTATTAACCTACTATAATAAGTTCAAACTTTCTTTACGTGAGTATATAACTAAAATGTGCATAATATTTGTCACGATCAAAACCGATGGACCGCGATGGGTACCCGGTACCTTACTCAACCGAGTACTAATGTAACGTATCTTTCTTATTACATCATCATATACACGTGACATACGAGCCTAATAGGCCAACATAATCATTTATAAACTCAAAACATAAGCCGACAAGGCCGTACAATCTTTCACGTACACGACATACGTCTACAAGCCTCTAAGAGTACATAAATATCATAAAGGTCGGGACAGAGTCCCGCCATACCAAACAATACACGTCTAAATCATATTAACCAAACAAGCAACTCCGAAGCAAATGGAGCGCACCAACATCTTCCGCTGAGCTGATAGCCTACTTGGAGGGCTCTCGACCTGTCTATGGGATCTGCGGGCATGAAACGCAGCGTCCACAGGCAAAAGGGACGTCTGTACGAAAAATGTACCGAGTATGCAGGGCACATAAATAAGTACATAACAGACATGGAAGAAATATGGAGTACATGACTCAACCTGTAAGTCTGAATAACTTTGTAAATCATGAAATAATTACAGTATCATGCATATGCGTATGAATGTCATGTCGTGCATAGGTACATATGTTCATAACATCATCAAGCCTCTGAGGGCATCCCATCATATCATCTCAGCCACTGTAGGTAAATCATCAACGTATACCAGCTGATCAGGTGGTGGTGCGTATATAACGCCATAACCTTTCCAATATCCTATATACATATATATACATACATATATACGCGTATATAATGCCATCTGGTCACGGGTCAATGTACATGAATGCAATGCATGAAAAGTACGTTAATAAAATCTTTCGAAATGTCATAAGCCCATTTTGCCTTTGAGTAATACCATAAAGTAAGCTCGTTTCAACTTTCGTATTTTTCTGCGACCCATGAACAGATGATAAAATATTATAAAACATGGAAATTCAAGAACATAGATATCTCTAATACTTCTATGAATAGAGTCATTTATGAAATTTGTGCATTTGCACGTTTCGCTCGTATCATATGGATCATGCCAAAAGAAAGAAGGGATAGCCTTAACATACCTGTTCCTTGAATTATTTGCACGAAATGAAGCTTCTGCTCCTTTGAACTTGAACGAAATTGACGCTTGGACTCTATAAAATTGGAACGAAATTCTTTCTGCTTGTCTAGATTTTGGGACGTTAGTCTCTTTTGTCCAAATCAAGAAAGCTAATCTACCGATCCTTCACGTTTTCTTGGAACAAATTGAACAAAATCTTAATCTTGCTACTGTTTGTCTTTGTAATGGAATGAATTGGAAAGACTTTTATTCGTAATGGAATGAATTGGAAAGTCTTGTAATGGAATGAATTGGAAAGACTTGGAACAAAATCTCCTACTACTCACGTTTCTGTTGTTCCTAAGTCTTTAAGTAGTAAGAATGTTATATTGTTTCTTTTTTGATCAAATGAAGCCCAACTTTCTAAATGCCTTACACGTAATTCAATCAAGACTATGAGTCATTTACCTTATATATGGGTCTGCCACCTCATGTTATTTGATACTTATCCAATATATTTCCCATTAATTAGGTAATGTCTCGTTACCCGGTAATTAATCAATTACGCGTAAAATTGAGAATTATTCTTACTTACTTAAAATATTACTCACTTTTCACATACCTTATACACCTTACTATTGTGGTCATATAGTACCTTGTATGGTACTAGTCCATAAATATCGAGTATTTTAGCTTGAGCCGTATTTTATCCCAACATGCCAAACTTGGACGAAAATTCGTTTTCTTTGACTTGCTTCCCCTTTCATCTTTACGAATTTACTTATTACTTGTTTGAAATAGCATAATTCTTATAATCTCCAAATAATCTTTTCCTTGGACTGATGTCAGTTACCTTATGACAAATTCAACATACAATACTACAGGGTGCAACATCGTCGTAACGTAGTACTGCGGGACGTGACATCTCACTTCCGGGCTCTCATTAATTTATTTATGGCGTAATTTCATGTACGAAAATATAGGGTGTAACATCATTCTCCCCTTTGGAACATTCGTCCTTGAATGTTGACTGATGCACTTATCATTCTCATATTCCATAGCTCTTGCGAATACTTTAGTAGTCCTTTTGCCATCTAGGAAATTGTTCTGTGATTAAGTCCAAAGGCCAAGGCATCCCCCCCTTTAGGCCTTTTTCCCACGCCATGACTTGTGATCTAATTCCTTCCAATCTCGTAACTGTTGCTACCTTCCATTATGCAGCTTCTACGATACTGACCTTGTAAGTGTGCCTATGCGACTCTTCTCTCCTTTTTCCTCTAGCTTTTAGCCAATCCTGAAGTTCTTCGCTTGGTATTTGTCGAACTTACGAATATTGCTATATCTTATTTTATAGACCTGGTTATCCATTCGTATGACTTTACTGCATCTACATAGGTCATACTATACCATAACTCTTACCTTGATTTCTCATTACTGAGGTCTGCTACCAAATCTCATATTACTTTTGTTGCTTATCTCATATGTATAAATCTATGTTCTCCACATTACTGTTCATCTTTAAGAATGACAGCTTAATCTCCTATCATACTTTATAACTTTTATCCATCCATTATTGATTCACTTTAATTTCGATCCATAATCCACCCATGATAACTTAACCTTTTATGTAATGTTGCAACTAGGATTCACGTTTTATCGGGGAACATCTAAAATGATTAGATTGATCCACCTGGGGCGATACCTTGTTTTCATAACCGTATCTCACGGCATCCCAATGTGATTCACCTTGCGTGAGTATCTTAATCTTTTCCAATTTATGAGATCCCATTCTTTTATTCGTCAGTTCCTTACTCAATCTAAGGCCCAAACGTCATTTTTTTGTTTATAATAATTACACCCTCATTCTATTAACAGGGCAGCATTCCATCTCTTCTGAATGTTATTAGTCTTAGACTCCGTTGAGTTCATTCAGGTTATACTGAACTTTCTATAACTTAGAGAAACCATTAGATTTCTTGTTTTCATGGGTCTTAATCCCGATGACTTATCCGTTCTCGTCACCATCTCACTCGCCCTTTCTCGTTCTTACTCCTGTCATAAAACTTTGTCGCTTTACTATACTTTAGCTTGGGACCCATACATATCTATTTATATTATTCGTGTCCTTCCTTCAACTTGCTTGCACCATAGATTTCCTTATGTTATTTTGGAACATCAAGCGAGACATCACATTGTCTCTAACTATTCTTTACTCTCATAATCAGGCTTTTTGATACCTAGACCATAGGCTAGAAGATATGCTACTGATGTTACTACTATCATTTCTGGATATTGAATCCTCGTGCTTCTAGCCTTTTATCCCAAGTATGGAATATTCTCATCCTTCTGCTTTTGAGTATCTCGTTCATTGTTCACCTTTACCTTACTTTCCTTAAAGCTTTACATCACATCTTCTATCTCT